CAAAAATGAGGCTTTTTCCAACTCTTGGATTTGGTCTTCAACTTTTAACTCTCAAACATCAAAGGGTAAGTTTTAAAATCTAGCCTCAAGGAAAAATATTTGTAGCTTCAGGGAGGGTCAAAAGAAAAAAGAAAAAAATTAAAAATTAAAACTTTTTAAAAAGTCACACCTCAGCTATCCCCTCCTCTAAAGAGTAAAGAACAGTCCTTTACACGTTTCTTATATCAACTTCATAAGGTAATATGTCAAAGGTTTTTCTTTTTGATTTAACTTGTCTTTATTACGTAAATGTTGATTGCACAATGTAATGAAGATAGGATAATGACATTATCATTTATTTGTATTTCACAGCGCTTCAGAAATGCATGTTTTTAGTCACAGACATCCCAAAGTCACAGATACCCAAAAGAATCTTCTTTTCAGTATCTGGTGGACCACTATTTGTCTCATGCAATGAGACACATCTCCCTCACATAGAGTTGCAATCAAACTGCCATCAATAAAATTCACCTGCATGTAGCTCATGCCAGCCCATACCATAACCCCACTGTCACCATGGGGCATTCTGTTCACAGCACTGACGTTAGCAAACCGCTCATACACAGGACGCCATACATGCCGTCTTCCACCTGGCCACTACGGTGTAAACCGGAATTCATCTGTGAAGATAACACTTCTCTGAAGTGCCAGACGCTGAGCACACATATGAGCTTCCCTGATGGTTTGTTCATTCTTTGGTTGTGCAAATCAGTTTTTGCATCAGCTGTCGGGGTGGCTGGTCTCAGATGATCTTGCAGGTGAAGACGCTGGATGTGGAGATCCTGAGCTGAGGCCTGTACTGCGAAGCAAGATTTGGAGTTAGCGAGGTAACTTCAGGGCTAACTCCAAGTTATCAGCAACTTAAAGCTGGTTCTGTTTTTAATTGGGATCAGTCACAGTGGTAACTTATGCTGAACAGCTAAACTGCTCCGGAGCAGGTGAAAAATCCTTTAAGAGCTGCCGTTATAATAAAGATCTTTAAGATTAGTCTGGTTTCAGCAGTGTGATATGATGCTCTTAGACTCAGAGGCATCTCAAGAATAAAACGAAATCCTTGGAATTTAACAGTGTTGAATATCTGCACAAAATATGAGCAAAAAAAAAACGAAAAGATGAAAAACTGAAGTCAGTCAAGCAAAAACAACACAGGGCTACACTGCCAGGCAATGTTCCTGCAACCTGCAAGTGTGGGAATTTTTTTTTTTCCGACCACCGTTTTGCATCCAACAACACGACACGTTGTTTTGCCTCCAGGTAAAATGACACATACAGGAGAAATATGTCCATAGGTGGGTCTCACTGTCGAGCCAGAGAACAAACACAAATCATTGTTTTATACTCAGCTGGTGTTATGTGTGGAAGTGAGTCACTGGGTGTGTGGGTGATGACTGACAACGTTTTAATTTAAATACAAACACAAAGAGACATGTGAGCATACACACTCATTAGTATTTGATTTTAGCATTATGCTCATTGAGGCCACAGTTTGCGTGAGGTCATGTATGAACATTTCTGTTACTTAAGTGCCACTTAAATCTACTGTCACACTTGGGAAATGTTCAAGGAGGAAGACAGCAGGGAAATCTGACCCTGGCTGCTTCCCTCTGATGTTCATCCTATTTCAGTGATGTTTTGTTGCTTTGAAGGCCTATTGTATTGTTACTGATGGTGAAGTTACATATCAGGCAAGGTATATTTTTGGTGTGATGACGGCAGGGGAAACACACAATCATTTCGTAACAGCACGGATTTGTCACACTTTTCAGAGTATGAATGCTTTTACCCGTATTGTGCTAAAAACAAAAACAAAAAAAAAACAGTCCAAGCAGGGGTTAACCCATTGTTTGTCTTTTGTGCTTTTAGGCTGTACCTTGTCAAAATGAAATGGGTCAGCAACACTCCCTGAAGACTCAGCTCAATTCTGCCCCCTTACACAAACACCTCCTCTGTGCTGACACTGTTCCTACGCTCACAGTGCACCTCATCTGAACCAGTTTCCTACCTCAGTTTCAATATTTGCAGAGAGCAAATGGTGTCAATCTGATTGAAATCACGACCATAACAACGCAAGCAGATGTAAAGTTCTGGCATTTGAACACAATTCCCTGGCTCCCCTGATACAAAAATAATTGGAGGCCGATTTCACTGTTTTTAAAAGGCTGTGGTGCGCTTTTTTAAAAAAGCTTGCTAGTGGTATTTTGAGAAACAAGACAACCTCAGGCATCCATTGGTACTAACCATGTTGGCATAGCTTGTCTGAAAGGGGGCTAAATAACACTCCAAAGTTAGGCCGCATTTTAGTGAGGGAACAACTGGCATGGCAATTTTCAAAGGTGGCCCGTGAACTCTCAACTCAAGATGAAAACGGGTTCTACCGGTACCCATGAGTCTCCCCTAAACTTGAGAAGGCTTGTTCCCAGCAAATGTTTCATTCCTTACAATCAAAGTGCTCCTTCAAATTAAAGTTGTATATTTCTACTGTTTCATTTTTAAGGAAAACGACAACCAGTCTGTTTTAAGAACAATGAATGGCCTGACATAATGTTACGTGCCTGTGTTTTTTTTCAGCATGTAGCTGGTCCTTATGATTCCTCATCAGCGAAGGTATAAATGAATGAAGGAGTAGTGCTGGTGCCACTGGGTCAGAAGGCTGTGACAACTGCGCGTTTCTAAGATGTAGGTAAATAAGTGAGAGTTTGGCTAAGTGCTGTGATATTTGTTGGCTGTATTTAATCTTTTCTTTATTTTGTGTGTTCCTGCTACAGGCGATCCGGTTCCCTTTTGGAGCTCATTTTTCGTTGATGGTCTTTTTTCCCGTTTTCATTGTAAATAAACCTCCTTACTGAGCACTCATGTTGGTTGAGAGACATAGCACTAAGCGTTACAGAACATCCTTTGTTCCCACTGCTATCACTATTAATAACCAGCAGTGACCACTAATTGTCCATGATTTATCCCTGACAGTGTGTGATGCTGGATTGTGTGTGTTAAGTATTTGTTCTGTCTGTTTTAATTATGACTACTCTCTGTATCCCAAATGGCCCCCTGGGGACATTAAAGTTTTACCTTACTTTACCTCGCTTTACCTTATCTTACATAGAGGGAACAAACAATAATATAACCCTGTGAATACAACACTGAGGGCAGAAAATGCTGCCCAGTGACTAACACTGACATTTTACAGCACTAGGTTTGAATGGAGCTTGCATGTTGACGTCCACAGACAGACTGGAAACTCTGTCAGACTGAGCTGTCATCAGAAGTTTGTTCTTCTGCTCAATAACTCAGCCAAACAGAAAGTAAAGTTTGGAAGCTAAGAACACTTGGCCAATGACTAAATTCTGGTCGACTACCAAATAGATTTCACTACTATCTTGATCCAATTACGTTTCAAAAACATTAGCTTTGGCAAGCACAAACTAATGATAAAAAAAAATCAAAATGTTCAAGTTGTGACAGAAAAAAAAACCCTTTACAAAAACAAAGCTCTCAGAGCAGCTTTTTAATTTAAGAAAAGGGACCAATATGTAATTGAACTTAACTTTTAATATAGTGGTTACTATTGTCGCCTCCCCATCGTATGCCTCTACAAACCAGTCAAGTTACATTTACAGTTCACATCCACATCTGTGAAAACATGGATGCTTCACAAACATCGTCCTCCCTGCAGCACAGAAGATCTATACAATCAGCACAGTTTCAATGTGGGCACCCAAGATTCACCAATTCAGTATCTGACAAATGTTTTCCCTTCTGTTCCTGAGATATGACATTGAGTAATGTCCAGCAAAATGTTTTTGAGGAACATTATGACGTCACAGTGAAAGTGACCTTTGATCCTCTGGATATATACTGTAAAGTCATCACTTCATTATTTCATCCTATTAGACATTTATGTGAAATTTTGTTACAGTTAGCACATAAATTGAGTTAAGGCCAAATACATGTTTTGTGAGGTCACAGCAACCTTGACCTTTGAGCACCAAAATCAGTTCAGGACGTTTGTGCCAAATTTGAAGAAATTTCCTCAAGGTGTTTGTAAGATATCGCATTCAGGAGAATAAGGCTGATGCGAGGTCACAGTGACCTTGACCTTTGATCACCAAAATCTTTTCTGGACGTTTGTGCCAAATTTGAAGAAATTTCCTCAAGGCGTTTGTAAGATATCGCATTCAGGAGAATAAGGCTGATGCGAGGTCACAGTGACCTTGACCTTTGATCACCAAAATCTAACCCGTCATCAAGGTCACAGTGATCTTGGGCTTCAACCTATGACCAGCAAAATCAAATCACTTCATTCTTGAGTCCAAGTGGATGTTTGTGATAAATTTAAAGAAATTCCCTCTAGGCTTTCTGTAGATATTGCATTCACAAGAATGGGACGAACTGTTGTTCGTTGTAATTCCTCTGGCAAACCCCCCCCCCCGAAAGCATTACCCATTAGAATCCCTAGTTAAAGATCCTCACACAGATTTGAAAGTGTGTATTTATTTTTGTGTTGTAGTGGACTGTCAACCGGTTCCAGAAACCATTCAGAGCATCTCTTTGCTCTTTACTAATGCATGCTGGGATTACACTCTTGTTCACAGAACCATACAGTGGCTAATGTAAGAAATGTATGAATAATACTCTGGCAAGGTTTTGCTCCATTCAACAAAACAACTCTAAAATTAAACCAGACAGATGGAGCTCAACTGAGCAGCACAACAGACTTCAGGTAAAGGTGTAGGTAAAGATGAAAGGAGACCTCAAAGGACCCAAGATTCGATGCTGTGTGATTATCTAACTTCTCCTGTTGACACACCTCTCTGGAGGGTGATTTCACACAATTGGCTACACCATCTGCTGCACACCTCTGACAAGTAGAGTCAAGGAGGTTATGTTGTGGTTTCAGGACAGTATTTTGGCGCTTTTACTACTACTGCAAAAATCATGAAAGCAAGACAAGCAGAGATGTCACATTAACTTAAGTTTTTAGAATTCTTTATTAAATCTATCATTTCTGCATTGTGTTTTAACATCTTTTCTCCCATAAATGCTGCAGCAAAAATGATTATCAGCACCACAAACATGAGACATTCATTGACAAAAAATGGCCGGCATACAACTGACACACATGCAGTGTTTGTGTAACGGTTGACTGGTTGTTTTTTTGCTGTCAGGTAGCTTGGCAATCAGGTGAGTGATCACATGGAACCGATGAGTTCCTCCACAGGAGCTTCCAGCACTTTTAAGACACAGCTGACCTAGTTGACCAGTAAGTGGTGGTCGGAAGTATGGTAAGAAAGAAAGAAAGACTTTGAAAGTGCACCAGGTCACAAACAGGGTGTAGGACGAGGGTTTTATTCCAGAGATACTGGATGGATGTAAAATACTGGGTTCCCTCCATGAATTTTGATTTCCTCCCACAGTCCAATGTGAAGTGAAAATTCTAAACTGCCCACAAACGTGACTATGTTTACTCTCTCATGATAACTTGCAGTGGGAGTTTTCCTGCCTTTTATCCAAGGCAAGCTTGGCAGGCTCCAATTCCCCAGCTGACCCTAACTTGGAATAAACATTCCTAAGTATCATAGTTTTCATGTCCAGCGAGGATTTCTTTTACAACTAAATTGGCCCATTACAGCGTTCTCTGGTTTAATTCTTAAGAATTTAATAGATACAGGCCAAGGTTGTCATTCTCAAGTATGTAGTGAAATTTATTGGGAATATAATTAGCAAAAAACACAAGGATTCATGGGTACATAGAGGCAGATGTTGACATTTGATAGTGTGCAGTTTCTCATGTGTCTATCTGGGTATGACAAAATGGACCGAGGGCAAACTGCAGTCTAGACTGATGCTCATATTCAGCAGCTTCTTCATGTGTTCATAACTGATATGATCAGCAGACAGGAAATCACAAAGAGCACAAAGAGGCATCATGTTAAGTAACACTTTGTCAGACCACCAGAATGTCAACCAAGGAGCGATAATAACTTTGACCAAAAGCTATTTGTGAATTCATGTGACATTTGACAATTTCAGCCTCAGTATTAAAACTAAGCATGATAATCAAATGCACCCATGACTGCACCCCAAAAATGTGGACCGTCGAAAGCACTTTGGTCATACTGTTATTCCTTTTGTTGTATGTGTTCTAAGCAAGGTGGACTAAAGCACAGCATTTAACGGACACAGACAGACAAATAAGCGTTTGAATTTCTACATCAGACGAGGCACAATAACACAGCACAAAGTACATATGTCATAACACATGTTCAGCATCCACCACTTTGTCCCCATAGAGCACATTAGCAGTAACAGGCAAACTTGTAACTCACCTGCTAGAAAGACAGTGGAAAGTGGATTCAAACAAACTTAAAGTTTGTCTTAAAGGGTAACTTCGGTATGTTTCAACCTGGACTCAATTTTCCCATGCTGTTGTGTCTTAGCGACTGCAGGGAAGAACAATATTTGAAACTGGTCCAGGACTGACCCACGAAACAGGCTGCAATGTAATCACTTAGGGCAATATGCACCCTAAAAGTATGCCTACTATAACTGCGTGTTTTGCCACTGACAGGCTCTGGTTGTTATTCTAAGTGTCTGACAACATTATGGAAAGGATCCCTACAGAGATAGACATTCTTTTTAAAGAGTAAGGCCCTTTTTGTTTGACCAGAAACAGCCCTGCGTTTGCTGTTGCCAAACCCACCAGACTCCATTTAAATAAACAGTAATTTTAGTGTGTATGACGCCAGCATATTTACACATCTAACTGTGTGGATTGAGTTTTTTTTTTTAAGTAAACCAGAGTTGGTGATTGTTGGAACAGTGAAAAGATGAGCTGAGACGTATTTTGTGAGTTTTATTATGTTTCCATTGACTTTGAATGAAGTGTCTTTTATGATGACAAAATCATTGTTTATTTAAATGGAGTCTGGTGATTTTGGAGAAAGCAATTTTAGGGATCTTTCTGGTCAAAAAAAAGATCTATGTCTGTAGGGATCCTCTCCATAACCCTATTAGACACTTTGTAATAGCAATCTGAGCCTGTCAGTGGAAAAACACTTTTATTCAACATATATTTACGTGTGAGTGCTGCGGCCTTGTTGCTCAATACTGGGCCAAATTCAAATATTGTTCTTCCCATTAGGACACAAAAACATGGGAAAATAGGGTCCAGGTTGAAAAATACCAGAGTTATCCTTTAACTGACCTTAAAACAGAACAATTCAACTGACTGAGAGAAAGTTTTTTTCCCAAAAATGTTCACTTGCTAAACACACCTCAGACAGAATAAGTTCTTAGAAGGAACAGACAAATGCAGTTTTGTGGCTCATGTGACTCAAAATGTGAAAATAATGTATATATTTTTTTTTCAGTCCACTTGTATTTTAAAATCACAAATGACATGCTAAAATAAAAAATAAATAATTGTTAATACTCCTTTCTCATTTTAGTGTATTTACAATGAGCAAACTGCAAGAGTTTTGCTTATTGTGCTCAAAATAGCTTTACTGGCTGTGTGAAAGTAGAGCATGTAAAACAAACAAACAACAACATATAATATAAATCATTTCTCTTTTTTGTGTGTTGGTTCATTCTAACATATAAAAATAAAACGTTAAATTCTAAAATAAACTCTTACACAAACCCCAATATGTCTTTTCTTCCTTTAATATTTTTAACATATCCAACGCTAGTGATGGTTTTGGCAACATGCATATGTACAGTGTGCGCAATTCAATTTTTTTCTTATATCGGTGTATTAGTTAAGATGCATAGATCTTTGTGAAACAGAGGAACTGCGTATAAAAAAGCACCAATGTAACTACATCTGTTCTTTAAAACCATAAGAGACATCTCTGTACATATATTTATATTTACATGACAGTGGTACTTGGTGACTTGGGACACATGAAGTACCCTCCCAGAAAGTACATGTAAAATGATGACCAGATGTAACAATGTGTGTTCTTACAGTATGTTTATGTATTGCACATACTCGACAGTGCCTACGACTCACGTAAACTATTTTTTGTACATCTAAGTGAGTGGTGGAGTGCCCTGCTGTATATAATAAGTTCAATCTGCCCTTTTACCTCAAGTTTTGTTGTCACAGTTTCTTCAGTGAAAGTTGGTGGAAAGGTAGCTCACTTCACACTCAGTCTCAGAGTGCCCCCTTGTGGTCAAACAAGTGAATGTCCTCTCCTGACAGAGTGCAACAAGTGTCTGCTTTGTGTAAGACATCTAGCCTGTTTATATTATTCATTCCTCTGATTGTTCCCCTCTTAAAATTTTTCTCTACATCTTTTCAGAAATAAATTCTGGTGTTGCGAGACAGAGTTCCCTCTGAGTCTCGACCCCCACCGGTGCTGTGATGATGTTACCACAGAGACCCCCAAGTCCTCAACTAACCAGGAAGCCAGGCGGCTGGGGCTGGGGCTGGGGCTGGGGCTCATGTGCGAAGGGGTTCCTCACTGCCTTTTGCTGTCCAGAATTGCCCTCCAGTCGTCCGACCAAGACAGGAGTCGTCTATGGGAGGGGCTGATGGAAAGATGCTTGTTGTGGCAGGCGGTGAACAGGACGTGCTCCCACGTCGGTTTGGGCTCCACGCCTGGTCAGGAGACATGTTAGATAGATACATTACATAGCTGAAAACCACACGTTTCCCTGCAGAGCGTACAAACCACTGCTTTAACCAACCCCAGCAGATCCTGGCTAACAGTCCTCTCACTGTGGCAGCTGTCTTACAAGGTGTTAATGAAGCAGTGAAGAAGATGTATGCAAATCATTTTAACACCCACATGACAAACAGGATTATGCAATCCTCTTCCTTTCAGATTTTTCTCCTTCCTTCTACCATCTTATTAATCTTGCTCTTCAACTCTTTGCTGAATGCTGTTCAGTTTAATGCTATTTTTAGAAACATATTTACATTTGGTTATGTCACCGCCTTTTGCCAGTCAGTGATCGTTATAAACAGCAAAGCCTTCAGTTCTCAAAACTCAGTCAACAAATACACCTCAGCTGCACTTCTTCACATCAGAGAACTTACAATAATGTATTTCCCCCTACGCTGGAACAGCAATTAAGCAATAGTAGTTTAGCAACCGTTACTAGGCAAGACAGGTACGTCAAGCTTTGGTGTTATCCACATGCTGAAGCAATGTTCATGGGTCTGTAGTAAGACTGCTACTCTACATTGAAAGCATTTAGAGGTTCATGTCATTTTGTTTGTTTGCCCCTACAAAAGCAAAAACACATGGAAAAAAGTGTAAGGAGTGGATTTGTCTAGTGTAAGGTAAGGTGCAATTGCCTGTCCTGTTAACTAGCTAGCCACAGTAGTAACCAAGTTTAACTCCCATGGGCCAATGAACACATGGGATTACACACTGCATTTACAAAGCGCCCTGTTCATGACATCAAGGTTCAAGTTCAAGGTTCCTTTATTGTCATTGTACAGTAAGGCATACAATACAACGAAATTTCTAGTGCACTCAGTTAAAGCACATCCACTGTGTAGCCTACAGGTATTAAGACAATTAAATTTAATGCTTTTTAAGACCCGTTCAAGACACCTTTTAACCAAATTTAGGACAGATTTTTGGACAAATCACATTTTAGCATTGCAGGTTAGCATTGCAGACAGTATGTGGTCTTGTTCAAAGGTAAGTGTAATGTAGGAATATGATTATTAGAGTGAGTTAAGTCATTTTGGCATGCATTTCAACACCTTTTACAGGATTCTAGTTTTAAAACAAGTCAGCTGGAAACTGTTTTAAAAGACATTTTCAGCCAATTTTTGGAGCTAACGTTAGCTTAGTTAGCCAGCCAGCTACATCTGATCAACTCCTCCAGCGACCGTTTTCATTTCAGCCGACAAAAGTCATCCACTAGAAATAAGAAACCTGCTTTTGTCTGCCTGTGTATGAAACTAAGGACCTATTGTTTAACGAGGACAAATACCTTTAAGTAGTAAATCTGCCACCATTATCATTAGAGACTGCGTATGTCACGTACCAGAGGGGTGGAGCTTAGCAGGCAGCGATGGATCTGGGAGCTGCATTGTCATCAATTTCAAACGCAAAATAAACAGGTGTAACAATACATAATGATCTCTTCTTATATAATTCTTTGACTAAATTAAATTATCTTTGTTGTTATGATGAGATAAACACTGCGTGTGCACACACGCAAACACACGTACAGTCCTCACCTAGAATGTCAGGCTTATCATCGATGAGGATGTCCCCGGCGATTACTGTCTTGTCTCTGGTTAGGATGACTCGCTCCAGAAAGTCATGGCCCAAATGTTTCTCTACCCAGGCATACTGGACAAACACACATGCACACACACAAACACCCACACACACACACACGCACGCACACACAGGGGAAATGAGATCTAATTAGAAAAAGAAAACAAATAAGTATTTACAAAAAGAACAGAATGGATGTTGTTGATGAGCAGAGGGCTTACCTTCTCATACGGGCAGTGTTTATAATGTTTTATTGGACTGGTGCAAATAAAGACATCTGTGCTGCGGAAAGAAAAGGACACAACAAGACAAGAGTGGAAAAATTAAAAACATCAACAATATTGATTTTCCAGCTGCTTACATAACAGACACGCCGACTCTGTGTAACCGAAAGCAATAGCTATTTTTGGATCAGGCGGTGGACATTCTCTGGAAGGAAAACAAAGAGGTCAGAAATACAGTATGAGATCGCACCATGTGACACATTCCGCTGATAAGAAAACAGGTTTATTCAGACACTGCTGGTTATAGAACCCCATTTATTTCCACCATTAGAGCAAATGTAAACAAACAGTTTCATAAATATGGCGGCTATTTTTAGATGTTATTCCACTGTATCACGTGGCTCTGAGAATGCTACCGGAAATGGCAAACGCATCCTGTTATCAATACAGATGCTTTCATTAGAGCACACAGAGTGCACCAACAGCACAGCAGCCAGTGTCTCAATATGACTCCATATCAGTATTTGACATAGCAACACAATAATCAGTGATAATTATCAATCCATAAATTCCTTATCGGTGCATCTCGTGTAAAGAAAGTGTCTCATCTTGTGCATATGAACATAAATCAATGTAATGTTTCCATTAACATAACTGATGTGAAGTGAAGGGTCAGGGTGGCACAGTGGCGCAGTGTTTAGCACTGTCACCTCACAGCAAGAGGGTTCCTGGTTCAAACCTGGGGTGGGGGGGCCCTTCTGCGTGGGGCCTGCATGCTCTCCCTGTATCAGTGTGGCTTTCCTCTGGGTATGGATTCAGGAAGAAAAATACTACATATATGGCAGTACTGGATCTAACTAATAAAATCAATGATGCAATTGATGAAGGCGACTACGGTATTGGCATTTTTTGGACTTATCTAAAGCATTTGATACCATCAAGATTGACATCCTAATCAACAAATTGCAACACTATGGTATTAGAGGCCTAGCGCTAGACTGGTTTCATAATTATCTGTCTGGAAGACACCAATATGTTTATGTAAATGACCATAAATCATCATACCAATCCATCAATCATGGAGTTCCCCAGGGTTCCATTTTAAGGCCGCTTCTCTTCATCTTGTATATGACTTTGTTAATTCCTCATCTGTACTACATAAAGTATTATTTGAAACTAAAACACTGTGACTGTCTATTGTGTGCCTATTATATGTCTGTTTCTTTGTTGTTGTATCCTAAGAATATCTGGCCAATATCCTGTCTGTTATTTGTGGGCCCCCAGGCCCCCTATTATAAGCTTTAAATAGCTTCCTTGGGGTGACCCTTTCACACATCAAAATACTGTAATGTCTGTATACAGCATGTACTGTATTTCATATTTCATATTATCATGTGTGTGAAATAATAAACTAAACTAAACTACTCCAGCTTCCTCCAATAATCCCTAGATATGCAGGTTAACTGGTGACTCTAAATTGTCCATAGGTGTGAATGTGAGTGTGAATGGTTGTCTGTCTCTATGTGTCAGCCCTGTGATAGTCTGGCAACCTGTCCAGGGTGAGGATTCCTTATCTGCTGTGAGGGTCCAAGGACAAAGGGATGTCGAATGTTGTAAAACCCTCTGAGGCAAATTGTGATTTGTAACACTGAATGTGGTAATTTAGCAAAGTTATAAAATGTGTTCATTATCCCAAATGATTGATGTCACCAATATGCTAATGAGTTCATGTATGGTGAGCTGTCTTACTTTAAAGCAGTGTATCTCCCTCACTCAATTTCTGAGATGATCTACTGCTCAGAAACTTGCCTGTATGACATTTTACTCTTACATCAGCAGCAGCCCAATCAGATTATATATCAGATGAGTGAACTGAATGTTCAAGACCTACTTATCCATCTTGGCCATCTCCTTGACCGCCTCCACTCCTCCTGGCAGTGGCTCCAGTTCTATGAAGAAGTCCTTGGACTCCCAGATACTGATGGCTTTTTCCTGGAGCAAAATAAACACACACCCAGCATCATATCAGTGACTGATAAGGTGTATGTATGTATGTACCCATGTAACATGTGCTCTAAAGACTGAATGTTCATAAGTTGACTTTTTCAGTGTCAGATAGACACCCGGTTGCCAAAAGGAATAGAGAAGCTGATATCTGAATGAGACTGTACTGTGCAGCTTTTTTGAATGTGTCAATAACGACAAAGCAGGAAGTGAGAAAAACATCTTTGTGGTCTATTTCCTCTTTTGTGCTCATGTTCAACACAGACCTCATAACCTTGGCCTAGTGTACGATTTTGTGGCATAATTTATTTGCGTGATATAACACAGATTAGACATATTTTACAAAGCTTTTCAGATCAGGGTGAGTGGGCAGTTTTTCCGTTGTCACAAAAACAGATTAACTGGCTTGAACATGCACTTTTGCATACTACTGCACTGTGTGGAATCCTATGAGCTAGATCTACGCCTCACTTATACAAACTTAGTAACATGAGAGCACCAACAATTTCCCAATTGGAGCTACTTATGTGAACATTTTCCTGTTTCTTTGCTCCTCTATGACAGTAAAGTGAATATCTCCTCTATTAAAAGGTGTCACCAAA